CATTCAGCTTGAGTAAGTGCATATTGTAACATTACTTGATCTTTTAAATATTTCAGCTGTGGTGTTACTTTAATATACATATAAAATTGTAGTATACATCAGAAGTTTATAGAGAAACTAGTGATCCCATGAAATAGTGTAAGCCTTATCTTTTTAAAGTGTGTATAGAATATATACATACATATGTATAAGCTTTGTTTAGTTGTAAAACTGTATACATCTTTAATGAAAACTGCAAAAGTAAAATGCATTTTCCTCTATCTTTACTTTTAATTTATTTTGAAAGTATTTGTTGGGGGCAGTGGTGATTTACTGTTTGTTTTGTATAGAGGTAGCGGGGAGAAATTATGCCCAATCATTGGCACTTAAGATAGATAATGTTTTTGTAATGTCACAAAATCTCAGAGTTCTAACACTCTGATTTGTGTTCAAAGGTTGAGTACACTTGAGCACTTGTCCTCCTTTTATAGTAGTAATGGTTAAAATTGTTACCGAAGTACATTCCTTTGCAACCTAATACTTCAGAGTTGTAACTTTTTGCTTTTACTATTCAGTCATTACTAGCATATTAAAATCTTAATGTTCATTAATCAGTATTTGTAGTTTGAAATGTATTTAATCGCAAAAGGAAGACTGCTTTAAAGATGTCTATTAAAATAACTATCCTGCGAGGATGCAGAGCCAGGATGAAGACATATACTTCACCCTATATTGCCCATTAAAAGTGAATGTTGTTACATTATACAGAGCTGGTTTATCTTTAAGGCAAAGATTACATACATTTAAATAGAAAGGAACTGGTTAAATAAATTGACCACAAACAGTTTAAAATTTCAAAAGTATTTCATATATGGTAATGCACTACATTTTAAATGTCTATCTGACTTTAAAAAAATTGGGGGACATGAAAGGGGAATTTTTGGATTTGATTTTGCAGCATTTTGGAATATGTTATAGAAAATTAGATCATGGGGTGGTTTTCCATTTCCAAGTTTGTTACTCTTCTTTGTAAGACATTAACAGTTTGTGTGAACATGTGCAGTTGGTTAATGCTACTTTAATCTGCATTCTCTCGTGCCTGTTGGCTTAAAATGCTACACATTGAGCTGTAACAAGATGCTGTTTCTCTTGTTATCTGTATACAGCTGCTTGCTTTTAAATGACTAGATAATGAATTAGCTTTCCTGGCATGTCTGAAATAAAGTATTGCATGCACTTCTGTCTCATGTGAATGACTTTTTTTTCAACTCTTGGTTCTGGTATTTCAAATGTGTATTTGTTACCTCTGTTAAATTCTGTATTGCAGGTGCCATATAAAATGTTGTAAAAAGCATTCCATAACAGCTAGATAAAAATGTATGCTAATGTTTTCTAAATCTAAAAAAACACAAATAGAACTAAATATAGCATAGATCTTGTCCATGTTTTTTTAAGTCTTAAAATGATTCCTATAGTTCGTAACAAAATGTTTAAAAATATCAAGGCATCCTAAATTGGAATGATGAAGGCAGTCGGTAAGAATTCACGATAAAATGTGTCTGTCAAGACTATTGCTTATCGCTATTGTACAATAAGCATACATCATGATTTACTCGTGAGGTCTAGCTCTAGATTTTTAATAACACAGTCAAATCCCATTGAATTTTATTTGAGTCATGAGTGAAGCAATGCACTTAACTACACAGGATCAGTTAGCTGGAAGAAACTTTATTTTGAGTACAGTAAATACTTTTACAATTAAAGATTATCTGGAATTTGAATATACTGTGGCAGAAAAGTTCCTTAGTGTACAAAAATTGAAGTGACAATATTAATCTATAGTTATCATGTAGTTTATTGTGAAAAGTATTTTTGGTCATTTAGGAAATAATCAATTTCACCTCTGTAGTTTTAGGTTTTCAAATCCATTATAATTAAAAGTTAGAATCACAGAAATGTAGGGCTGCAGGGGACCTAGCAGTCATCAAATCAAGCACCCTGCCCTGAGGCAGGACCAAGTAAACCTAGACTATCCCTGACAAATGTTGAAAAATTGCATTAAAATAAACAGGATAAATGTGGACATCAAGCTTCCAGCAGCTTGCATGAGAATTTAGCAGTTCTATTTCTCTTAATTCAACCATCGGAATAAAGTTCAACCCTCATTTATTATAATAAATGCTTAAAATTAGTGCACAGGGAAACAAATACTTAAAAAGACACTGTCAACTCATTGTTTTAATATAAAAAGAACAGGAGTACTTGTGGCACCTTAGAGACTAACCAATTTATTTGAGCATAAGCTTTCGTGAGCTACAGCTCACTTCATCGGATGCATATGCATTCCGAGCTTTCGTGAGCTACAGCTCACTTCATCGGATGCATACGCATATGCATCCGATGAAGTGAGCTGTAGCTCACGAAAGCTTATGCTCAAATAAATTGGTTAGTCTCTAAGGTGCCACAAGTCCTCCTGTTCTTTTTGCGAATACAGACTAACACAGCTGCTACTCTGAAACCTGTTTTAATATACTTTTCAATTTTTTTTTGTTCTGTAATATTCTCAAAGCATGAAAATGCTGTTTCTTTTCTCACCAGTTTTGATACTTCATTTTAGAACAGGGATGGACAAATGTTTTGGACTGAGGGCCACATCTGGGTGGGGAAATTGTATGCAGGGCCGGGGCAGGGGGTTGGGGTGTGGTGTGCAGGAGGGGGCTCAGGGAAGGGGGTTGGAGTGCAGGAGGGGGCTCAGGACAGGGGTTCAGGAGGTGTGCAGGGTGCGACCGGGCTCGGCAGGGACTTGGGTACAGGGTGCAGTAGGGGGCTCAGGGCAGGGACTTGGGGTGCAGGAGGGGTGCAAGGTGCAGGCAGGGAGCTTAGGCTAGGGAGTTGGGGGGGGCACAGGGTGCAGGAGGGGTTTGGGCTCCGGCCCGGCGCCACTTACCTAAAGTGGTTCCGGGGTGGCAGCGGCGCACACCGGGGCCAGGGCAGGCTCCCTGCATGCCTGCCCTGGCCCCACACCACGCCACTCCGGGAAGCAGCCAGCACCACAACCCAGCGTGGCCCCTGAGGGAGCCGGGGGGGGCACAGGGCTCCGCGTGCTGCCCTTGCCACATCTCCAGGTACCTCCCCCGAAGCTCCCATTGGCCGCGGTTCCCCGTTCCTGGCAAATGGGAGCTGTGGGGGGCAGTGCCTGGAGGCAAGGGCAACACACGGAGCCCTCTTCTCTCCACTCCCCCCGGGGGGCCCAGGGACGTGGTGCCGGCCGCTTCTGAGAGCAGCGCGGGGCCTGCAGCACCATGGGGGGCAATCCCGTGAGCCAGATCCAAAGCCCTGAGGGGCCAGATTCGGGTCACGAGCCGTAGTTTGCCCACCCCATTTTAGAATCTTTTTTTTATTATTATTATGGAGTAGAAATTTGCAAAAGTATTTTTAACATTTTTGTAATTGATAGTATGCCAAGGCTCTTTCACACCAGCTTCCATGTCAGTACAGGTCTGAGAATATTTAAATATTTCTTCAGTGGGAAAACATATCTGTGGGTGTTACATGGTTGGAAGTGAGATTTTTATGTCCTTGGCTTTATTAGAAAGGGGAAATTTTTAATTTTATTAAAAAGTGGGTGGACTGAAAAAATCCACAGGATTTTCTTAATCAGATTGTAATAACATTGAGTGATTTTAGTCTCCTTTTCCTACTTAATTTCCAGGATTATTGATGGAGTTTTATATACATTGAGGGTAGAATGGACCTCTTGGGTCAAATGTTGGGCGTAAGCTGCTCAACAGTGTCCTTTCAAAGTACAAAAATACACCTGTTTCAAGTGAAGTGGAACTGTCTTAATACTTAACTTTATGCCTTTAATAGTAAATCAGTGTATACACATGGGTTAATCTAAGATTAAAAACTTGATCATTCTATGTATTACACGTATAGAGGTTAAATGACTCATTCTGAAGTGCTAGTGTTACAATACTAAACCACTTGAGTCAAATAGATACAAGACTAGTAAACTGACACTTTTAAAATGCATATAAATAGTCTGTAAAACTAAGCTTTCTGAGGATTTGCTGCTAAATTGTAATCTTTCTTTTTCTTGCTTCATGACATGCCTTGTCTTAGGATGCTAAAGTAAGTTTGTTTTTTTTTTCATTCTCTGGGTGCTTTAAAATTACTTTGGTTTTGGTTTCATAAAGACACAGTATCGCTTTTCATTGACTATGATGATGATGCTAGTAATTGTGGAAATGGACAGCCCAGTTTTTCTAATTGGCTAGATCTTCTTCCAGTTGCTTAAAAATACTTCTTCAAATTCCCAAAATGAAAGTCGGATACAGGCTTTAGTATATATAAATATATTAAACACTTATTTGTTTTATTTGGCCAAAGGTCTTCATTGAAAATTTAGTGCAGTACCTTTAGGAAAGAACTGGTTCCAGAAGTTTATACCTGGTCTAGAATACTAGAGCACAAAATCTTGGGCTTCCCTTCACTTCAAGATTGGCCATTTCATCCTTCTCAAATAGTTTTTATCCAGTATACAATAGTGTCTCTAGCTGGGAGGGCTATTTTGAGAATTAATACTGTTGTTTCTGTCTGACTAGGACCTGTTGCTTCCAAAACTTAGGTTTAAAGGATATTGTAGCTGTACAGTACGTCAGCCATTTCATTTTTACTTGAGGGATTTTGGGATCTCCATAAAATATCACAAAATGAAATAAAGTTAATCCATTACATGATTTTTAAAAATTCATGTCTGTTTTACTAAGTTGTGACTTGTTCCATGATGGAAGGTCTGTTGATTTATTTTCTTTTTAGAGTTAAGTGGTCATAAAGCTTACAAGCCATCCCTGTAAACCATGACAAACTTCTTAATCCTTTTAGAAATGCATCTGATGTCATACATATAAACTCACACTTTTCTTATGAGTTTTTTTAATTAAGCACTTTCCACATATAAGCTTGTTTAGTAGGAGCACAGGATCTGTTTACCACTGTCTCAAATTTTCCCTCCACAGGAAGCAGAGACCCCACGTAGTGTACTTGAAGAAATTGGACTCACATAAATCTCCTCGGAAGTCTCCTGGTGTTTCACATACTGTAAATGTTCACTGCCATCATTTTAATGTTTAGCTAATGGTGTAAGATGCTGTTTGTCAGTATTACTGTTTTGCTAAGTTGCTTCATTCAGGCCTACAAGAAAATATCCCATTTAAAGTTTTAAAAAAGGGAACAAAAATTTAAAACCTCCAAAAAAGGATAAAAGAAAGGGATTTCAATTCAAGACCTCTCTCTGCATTTGAGAGCATCATAGGTGACGACTTCAGTAATTATACTGTTTTATAAGTACCAGTGACTTAAGGAAACAAATGAATCAGCTTCAATACATTGTCATGTTTAACAGAAAGGAAAGTACATGTGACAACTTTAAATGTGAAACGTAACAATATGGAACTTGGTTTTATGCAACCAAAGACTTATTTGTTCATCTACATTTTATGTCAACATTTGTGAAAAATCTGCTTTTTTCAGTTAATACAGAAAGATTGGGAATTAACTGTTTACTATGGAATTTTTTTCATTATACCAAAGAACCCTATTATGATCTGTATATCAAACTGGTATGAGCTGTTAAGGTGGCTTCATTTTTTAGGAACAGGGCTGCAACCAGACCATTTGATAGAAATGGAAGTATACAATACAAAGATTTTTCACACAAGTACATGAGAGTTAATGTATTATAAAGGAAATGCAGGTTGTAAGAAGTAATTGTTTATTGGAACCATCCTGTTTTAACATCAATATTATTGCTTAATCACTGTAGACTTGTACCTAGATTATGTACTTTGCCGTTCTGACTATTCAGATGAGTAGATAGATAATGTAAAATACACTGGGGTAGCACTTGACCTCATGGAGAGAAGGGAATAATCTAAAGGGAAAGTTAAAAATGTGCAATTTAAAAGTTAGAGAGAGCAGGTGAGTAAGATAATATCTTTTATTGGATCAACTTCTGTTGGTGAGAGAGTTTTTGAGCTTACTACACTTCAGGTCTGAGAAATGTACTCTGAGAGTCACAGCTAAATACCAGGTGGAACAGATTGCTTAGCATAAGTAGTTAACACACATTTCAAGGGACCATTCAAGGTGAAGTGCCCCACTAACACTCCTCCAGTCATAGGGGGAAATGGAAAGGGGGAGAAGGCAGCTGGGGGAGGGTTGTTAGTCAGCCCTGGTGCAGCCTTCCCAAAAATGGGGGGGGACCAGGGCTCCTGCCCCTTCTGTGGCTCTGCCCGAGTTCCTGCCAAGCCGGAAGCTGGAGCAGGTTGGGAGCCGAGGACTCTCCACCTGCCTAGCGTTTGCGGGGGTCCCTAGAGCAGCCCATGGTCTGTGTCCCCAACCCAGCTCCAGCCGGGGGATAGGGCCTTGGAGCTGCAGCCCGGCTGTAGTAAGAGCCACACAGCCAGTCAGCTGTGAGGAGGCATGGACCTTTCACCTGCCCTGGATGGGGAGCCCAGGGGCAGGGACATGGGCCAGGGACTTCTCTTTGGCCCCCCACCCTGAGCAGGTGGAAGTGTTGAGTCAGCGGCACAGTGCAGCCTGCTGCCGAGGCTCCCCAGCCGGGCTCCAGTTGCTGGCCTGGCGGGGTGGGCCTCGGGCAAAAGTCGGGGGCAGGGCCTGTGGTGAAAAGTGGACAGGCCAGGCCCATCCGCTTTCAAAAAGTGGGAGGGGCATAGCCCCCTTTCCAGTGCTGATGTCAGTGGGGTATAGATTGTTGTGATAAACCATAAATCCAGTGAAAATTATAAGACAAAAACACCACATCACCTGTGGATGAAAATTTTTCTCAAAGTGATCACTCTATATCTGACGTATCAGTCCTCATCCTCAAAGGAAACCTGCACAACACTTTCAAAAGGTGAGCCTCTGAGATTAAATTCATAACTTTGCTAGACACTAAAAATCATGGACTGAACAGAGACACTGAATGTACGGCTTATAACAACAATCTTGTATCCACTAACAACCCCCCTACCCAAGCTGCCTTCCCCCATATTTCTTCCGCCCCTAGAACTGGAGGGGTGCTAACAGGCCACTTGACCTTGAATGATCCATTGAAATATGTGTTATCTGTTACGCTATCTGTTCCACATTGTGTTTAGCTGTGACTAAGTACATTTCTCAGACCTGAAGAAGAGCTCCATGGAAGATCAAAAGCTTCTCTCTCACCAACAGAGTTCGTCCAATAAAACATATCATCTCATCCACCTTGTGTGTTTAATATTCTGTGACAGACATGGCTACACCACTGCATATAACTAATTTAGAAGTTTAGTTTGAACCCTAGAAACAAGACTAATGGCTTTGCATTTATTAGTATATTATGGTATGCTCAATGGGGGCATAAGCACTGGTTTTAAAAATCTGTTTTATTAACCTGCTTCATTGCTATATATTAATGTCCTGTCACCATACATGCAGGTGACATTCATTGTGAAATTACTAAGCTTAAGCAAACAAGTGTTTATATACGGTACCACCAAACTAATTAACACTGAGGTCCTATTGAAAATTGGTGAGTTTCAGCGTGTAAATGAACAAATAATCAAGGGTAATACACCACAAAATATACTTTTGTTCATTTACTTTGACAGTTATAGGTGTTTTGCAATATAGTCTACACTTTAAGTATTTAGTCTTATGAGATCTCTGTACAGAACTCTGTTCTGTTGCTAAGAAGTCAGTGCCATTTTTTTTCTGCAAATTATATGTGGAGTAGCAAAGTTCTACTGTGTGTATCTGCAGTGATGACAAGGTGAGTGTTTTTCTAAGCTTGTTCTATTGGAACTGACCATAGGCTCCATAACATTTCAGTTTGCTCACTTGACGTAAGCAGTACACCACATTTACAGTATTCATTTCCACTCATCTCATGTACAGAACACAAGCCTCTCAAATCACTAGAATATCATGTTTGAAAAGGTACACAAGACCCCTGTTCTGCATTTCACTTGTCGAATATGTAAAAAAAAAAAAGAGATACAACTGGTATGGGATGGCCTGCTGTTTGTGCTGTTGAAGTGATTGAATTTCCTTCATTTAAAATGTCAATCTGAAAGCAGTTTTATGTGTTTAAACAAACCTATTTCTAAGGTTTACGCTGTCACTTGTATGTGCTAGGCTGGATTAAGCTTTGTTGTGATTGTATCAAAACCTGTAACCACTGTCTTACAATTAATGTGATTCTAATAAATGTTCACTTTTACACCATAGCTGTGTGCTTATATATAATCAAAGGTTTAATATTTTTGCAAGGGGAAGAAGAGGATGGGTAAATCTTTGATAGGTAAAAATGCACAATTAAACTTCATTACATCACTGGATTTGCATCAAACTTTATTTAAAAAAAAAAAGTAAGGTGTACTCAAGGATTCCATTTATTTACAGCTATTAAAAATTTTACAGAAAACAATAAGTTAGCAGGTAATTGAAAGCTTAATCACATTAAACACTTTACTGTAAAGAAACTTCATCTAAATGGATATTCAGTTTAGGCTATAGTGCTATTTCATTTAAGAATTAAGGCCAAAAACACATTAACTGAAGGTGTGTTGGATAATACAAGCTTAACATTCAATTTCTTGACTATGATAAAGGGCAGTTCAGTACAGCATAGGCAGTCCTCATTTCAGTTGAAGTGTGTGTCTAACTGGGAGAAGCCACCACACATTTTTCAAAAAGCGAGCACTAAGATTCTTGTCTGAATTCCACTTGGCTTTACCTGAAGGAAGAAAGAAGTGTGGAAAATCATTAGTACCCTCCCTTTAAAGGGTTCCTGCCACAGATAAGATGAAAGCAAGCTTAAATGCAAGAGCAAGTTTCTCTACTTCATCCTTTTCTACACCAGCTATTGCCACATAGTCTGTGCTGTGCTTGGAATACTGAGCATTGGACTCTTCAAGAATTTTCAAATTGAATGCCTTGCAGAATATTTTTCCAAGTGTTGAAGGATAGACTGCAAAACAGCATTTAGGGGTATAAATCAACCTCAAGCTAACCTCACTTCTCTAATTTATAGGCAGGATTCTGCTAATTCTGCCATGCTGCAAAATTTACCTCTATGGGCCAGCTACCATGGAAATCTAGTTTTCCTGGCAGTTTGGACTCCATCTTTTGATCTCATTTAGTACCAGGACTGTAAAAGTTTTGTTCTGCTGCTTGATTTTACTTGCCTTAGAAAGCAGGAGGCTGTTGTTTTGTATTCATATTTCAGTGAAGTGATAAACCAGCATCTTTACAAGGTTGTCAGATTTCTCTCTCCAGTGTATTGTAAACTAGCGCTGCCATTTATCTCTTACTGACTAGAGAACCTGAACATGCACCCTACCTTCTCTTCTTCCCTCAAAGCGATGCTCTCCCCCCAAAATTGTTGCTTTAGCCACTTGTCCCCCCAACCTCCTCTGCCAATGCGTTCTCTATTTGCTTTCCCTCCCATTCATATCCTGTGAAGCTGGAACAAGGGTGAGGCATTCAGACTCCATAGCTTATAAGGGATGCTGACGTTTGCAGCATGCTAAAGTGGAGCCCTGTAGCTTGCTAATAACCTACTCCATTAAGGCTTTTTTGGAAGAGGTTCATAGATAAGGTCTTGAGAGACTGTTATCTAGCCTGACTTGTATAATAAGCCATGCCACTTTCCTGCATTAATTCCTGCTTGAACTAGAGCATACATCAGAAAAATCCAGTATTGATTAAAAATGTTAGTGATAATCTACCACAGCCTTGCTAATTTATGCAGTGGTTAATTACCCTCCTTGTTAAAAACTGCGTCTTTAGTTCTAGGGCTGTTGATTAATTGCAGTTACTCACACAATTAACTCAAAAAATGAATCATTAATTGCACTGGTAAACAATAGAATACCAATTGAAATCTATTAAATATTTTTGGATGTTTTTCTACTTTTTCAAATATATTGATTTCAGTTACAACATAGAATACAAAGTGTACACTGCTCACTTTATTTTTATTACAAATATTTGCACTGTAAAAATGATAGTATTTTTCAATTCATTTTACACAAGTACTATAGTGCAATCTCTTTATCGTGAAAGTGCAATTTAGAAATATAGCTTTTGTTTGTTTCTTACATAACTGCATTCAAAAACAAAACAATGCAAAACTTTAGAGCCTACAAGTCCACTCAGGCCGCCTCCTTGTTCAGCCAAACTCAGACAAACAAGTTTGTTTACACTTATGGGAGATAATGCTGCCCGCTTCTTATTTACAATGTCACCAGAAAGTGAGGACAGGCATTCGCATGGGACTTTTGTAGCTGACATTGCAAGGTATTTACATGCCAGATATGCTAAACATTCATATGCCCCTTCATGCTTCGGCCACCATTCCAGAGAACATGCTTCATGTTGATGATTCTCATTTAAAAAAAATTAATGCATTAATTAAGTCTGTGGCTTAACATCTTGAGGAAGAAATTATGTCTCCAGTTCTGTTTTAACTGCATTCTGCCATATATTTCATGTTATAGTAGTCTCAGATGATGACTCGGCACATACTCATTTTAAGAACACTTTCACAGCAGATTTGACAAAACACAAAGGTGGTACCAATGTGACATTTCTAAAGATGGCTTCAGCACTTGACCCAAAGTTTAAGAATCTAAAGTGCCTTCCAAAATCTGAGAGGGATGAGCTGTTGAGCATATTTTCAGAAGTCTTAGAAGAGCAACACTCCGATTTGGAAACTACAGAACCCAAACCACCAAAAAGAAAATCAACCTTCTGTTAGTGACATCTGACTCGGATGATGAAAATGAACATGCGTCAGCCTGCACTGCTTTGGATTGTTATTCAGCATGGACGCATGTCCTCTGGAATGATGGCTGAAGCGTGAAGGGACGTATGAATCTTTAGCACATCTGGCATGTAAATATCTTGCGACATTGGCTACAACAATGCTATGCAAACACCTGTTCTCACTTTCAGGTGATGTGAATAAGAAGTTGGCAGCATTATCTCCTGCAAATGTAAACAAACTTGTTGGAAGAAAAGGAGTACTTGTGGCACCTTAGAGACTAACCAATTTATTTGAGCATAAGCTTTCGTGAGCTACAGCTCACTTCATCGGATGCATAGCTCTGTGGAAGAGGGGAAAGTGGTGGATGTGTTGTTCCTTGACTTTAGCAAAGCTTTTGACACTGTCTCCCACAGTATTATTGCCAGCAAGTTAAAGAAGTATGGGCTGGATGAATGGACTATAAAGTGGATAGAAAGTTAGCTAGATTGTCGGGCTCAACGGGTAGCGATCAATGGCTCCATGTCTAGTTGGCAGCCAGTATCAAGTGGAGTGCCCCAAGGGTCGGTCCTCGGACTGGTTTTGTTCAGTATCTTCATAAACGATCTGGAGGATGGTATGGATTGCACCCTCAGCAAGTTTGCAGATGACACTAATCTGGGAGGAGAGGTAGATACGCTGGAGGGTAGGGATAGGATACAGAGGGACCTAGACAAATTGGAGGATTGGGCCAAAAGAAATCTGCTGAGGTTCAACAAGGACAAGTGCAGAGTCCTGCACTTAGGACAGAAGAACCCCATGCACTGCTACAGACTAGGGACCGAATGGCTCGGCAGCAGTTCTGCAGAAAAGGACCTAGGGGTTACAGTGGACGAGAAGCTGGATATGAGTCAACAGTGTGCCCTTGTTGCCAAGAAGGCCAATGGCATTTTGGGATGTATATGTAGGGGCACTGCCAGCAGATCAAGGGACGTGATTGTTTCCCTCTATTTGACATTGGTGAGGCCTCATCTGGAGTACTGTGTCCAGTTTTGGGCCCCACACTACAAGAAGGATGTGGAAAAATTGGAAAATGTCCAGCGGAGGGCAACAAAAATGATTAGGGGACTGGAACACATGACTTATGAGGAGAGGCTGAGGGAACTGCGATAGTTTAGTCTGCGGAAGAGAAGAACGAGGGGGGATTTGATAACTGCTTTCAACTACCTGAAAGGGGGTTCCAAAGAGGATGGATCTAGACTGTTCTCAGTGGTAGCTGATGACGGAACAAGGAGTAATGGTCTCAAGTTTGCAGTGGGGGAGGTTTAGGTTGGATATTAGGAAAATTTTTTTCACTAGGAGGGTGGTGAAACACTGGAATGGGTTACCTAGAGAGGTGGTGGAATCTCCTTTCTTAGATATTTTTAAGGTCAGGCTTGACAAAGCCCTGGCTGGGATGATTTAGTTGGGGATCAGTCCTGCTTTGAGCAGGGGGTTGGACTAGACCTCCTGAGGTCCCTTCCAACCCTGATATTCTTGGTTCTCCAGTTCATAGCAGTAGCAGGGAAGGTTTAAAACATTTTTGGTAATCTTTCAGCTCTAACTTTTGCCTTTCGTGCTTCAAGGCAAGAGTCATTTCCTCAACAGAGATGATGACCATCCTGTGCATTACCACAATTATTGTATTAAAGGCTACACAGTTGTTCAACAGTGAGTGACACCTGTCTCAGTGATATTTGTCATTTATTGTACTCTGCCTCAAAGAATAAAAACTGCAGCTACTGCATGTCAGACAAGTTAAATTGCTTCTTGTCCCAGGTCAGTAGCTCTCAGAAGCAAAGCTCTCAGTACTATTTCTTGTTCAGCCAATCACTCAAACAAGTTTCAGAGTAACAGCCGTGTTAGTCTGTATTCACAAAAAGAAAAGGAGTACTTGTGGCACCTTAGAGACTAACCAATTTATCTGAGCATAAGCTTTCGTGAGCTACAGCTCACTTCATCGGATGCATACTGTTTCCACTGTAACCCCTAGATTCTTTTCTGCAGAACTGCTGCTGAGCCATTCGGTCCCTAGTCTGTAGCGGTGCATGGGGTTCTTCTGTCCTAAGTGCAGGACTCTGCACTTGTCCTTGTTGAACCTCAGATTTCTTTTGGCCCAATCCTCCAATTTGTCTAGGTCCCTCTGTATCCTATCCCTACCCTCCAGCGTATCTACCTCTCCTCCCAGTTTAGCGTCATCTGCAAACTTGCTGAGGGTGCAATCCATACCATCCTCCAGATCGTTTATGAAGATACTGAACAAAACCGGCCCAAGGACCGACCCTTGGGGCACTCCACTTGATACTGGCTGCCAACTAGACATGGAGCCATTGATCGCTACCCGTTGAGCCCGACAATCTAGCTAACTTTCTATCCACTTTATAGTCCATTCATCCAGCCCATACTTCTTTAACTTGCTGGCAAGAATACTGTGGGAGAC